GTTGAAAAACTCATTAAATAAGTATTATATTTGGACAAATAATTTGACTGAACTAATCAATAATATTTTAATTAAACATTTCGGTCAAGGATCTACACTGAAATAGATATGCAGATTAAAAAAAATTATTTAATGAATGATTTGTAGAGGGAAATTCAAAATGACGACGGAAAATTTTCAATGTATTTCGGTCAAGTATATTGACCGAAATAGATGTCCAGATTTGAAAAAAAAATCAAATTATTTAATAAATTGTAATATACATAATAAATATTATAAAAAGACTTAGTACTACAAAAATTCGATATTAATATCACGAATTATATACAATTGTTATTTATTTAATTTTTTGACCTTTTATGGTCTTTTAATTATGAGTATAATTATTTAGTAGTAAATATGATTAAATTTGCATATATGGAGGAAAATAAAAATAAATAAAAAATACTTGACATTTGAAAAAAGAATCCTACAAAAATAGAATATAAAATCACCAATGAAATCATATTAATAAAAGCATGCAAAATAAATCAAAAAATAAGTATATGAGTATAAATAAGGTAATGAAGTTAATTACCTCCATAATGTTGCCCCATTCTTCACCAAATTAAGGAACCTTTAGACATAAAAACTAAAGAACATTAGTACAAACATTAGTAAAAAACATATATATAAGATAGTAAAAAGTAAAGAAACATTTACATATGCAAATAGTTAAAGAATATGGAGGTAAAAGAGAAATGGTAAAGAAAGGAATTAGTAATATTAGTTTAGGAGAAAAAAAAATAAAGAATGTGAATTAAACTTGAAGAAAAAACCTAAAGATGAGGATTGATCAACAAATAGTATAAAAAGAAACATGAACAAATGAAGAAAAGTGTTGAAGTTGAAGAAGAAGAGAAGAAAGAAACAAAAGATTGAGAATTAATGAAAAGAGTGAGTCATAATATATATAAATGGTCATGACTATTTAGGACAGTCATACTGATCGAAATAAAAGGGCGAAAATTTCAAACATTTTTCGGCAAATAATTCAAAAGGCAGAGCAAGAAGATGAAATTAGTTCGGTCATACATTTTGAC